ACTGCGCATGCGCGTTTTACCCATATTCTATCGCGATATTTCATTTTTCTATCGTTGCCCAAAATTAGCCCTAATTGTAACTGAACATGTAAGGAAGATTTTGGACTGATATGTTAGGTAGCACCAGAGTCACACATAAACTTTGGAAATATTTTCTCAGAGCTCCAGAGCCTGAGCAATCAAAGCACATGGTAGCCCAAAGCTCTATTGCAGGGTTATCAAAAATACAGCCCAGGGGCCAGAACTGTTCTTTTACAATAAAAAAGGCAATGAGCTACTTTTTCTGTAATTTAATACATTTATTACTTATAATTTAGTCCCAAAGAGTCGTGCTGACAGATTTCTTCCATTTACTATAGTATTATTTCTTTATCATGCAGAGAAACTGAGACATAGTACTTTTTTTCTTGCAATGGCAGAAAGGGGTGCTTCACTGGTCTGGCCCACTTAAGGTCAAACATGGAAAATGAGTTTGATATCTCTGTTCTGTTGGTTTCACCATTCATTTGTTGACCACCTGTAACTCTGTGTAGATGATGCTCATTGTAAAAAATAATAATAATAATAATTTAAAAAAGCACTTTTGAAACAATCTGGGTTTCAAAACTTTAATTATATCTTGTGTCATTTTCTTTGCCCAGCTCACTGCTACATGTTGAGAAACGCTACGGCACAAAGTGGCAGCATGGACTTAAGGACTGGAAGATGAAACAACCCAACGATGAAAACAAAAACTTTTCCAACAAAAGGATGATTGAAACAAAAGCCCTGACAGAAACCATCAGGGCTGACTGAACTATAGACTTGTATGGAAAGGGGAATATTGGACTGTTGCCTAAGTGGCTAGCGGAACTCGCCTGGTCCAGCCCCATCTTTTTTGTTGGTCCACATCGACCTGTGAGCAACACCACTAATGACTCTTTGTCAGCTGCAATGTGGCGTCGCTGGGTAGCTCCACAACTTTCCTGCTAACTTATTGTTTTCAGTCTCAACACTGGTAATTGGGGGGGCGGGTATCTCACCTCCGCCCTCCTTAAAAGCCTGATTCCACTCCCCATCCCCCACCTAGCTGCTGGAAGGAATGAGTGACTTCAGTGGAAAGAACTGGAATTGACTTTTAGTTAACCCAACACCTCTCATGCTAACCCATCCCATTCCCGCTTCACCCTACCTGCCTTTGGTTTCTTTTGAATGGCAATGAAATCCCTGCGCTCTAACTGGATACAGGGGGTGGATGCTGACATGGGAAAGACGGAATTTTTGTGGTGTATAAAAAAGACCACACCTAAAAAAAAAAAAAAAAAATCTTTGATTTTTGTATTTGATATGAAACATTTATTTTTGATTGGCAGTTTTGAAAGTGCTTATTTCAGCTGGCACCTGGTTTGACATTTTTTTGACCTGCCTGAGGTAGTTGAACATCCTTTTGGACTAGATCTCTTGAATGGAGAATTTCTAGATAGATGGCTTACCGCTGCCTTCTCTCTTTACAGATGTTTCATTGCGAGTCGTCTTGTGGAATAATAATAGTAATGGTTAGTGTACGTAGATTCTGGTGCAATAGAATAATTTACTTTCCAAATTACAAAGTATTGGGAATATACCCTCTGTCATGACTACTTATTTTTCTGCTTTACTTTTTGTTTAAGAAGGAGAGGTACCGTGCATGAAAATGTAGTTGTTGTTATCTTTGCAGTTGCAAAAGCACGATAGGTTGCCTGTAGAATGGAATAAATACCTTAAAGTTGGCAGCGAGTCGATTTAAAAAAACAAAAAAAAACAAAACAGCAATGCAAAAAGTCTCTGCATTTCATTTTAGTAGCTGTATGGTGTACAACAGCTATTTATAGATTGCAAGAATCACTCCTTGTGGACGATAAGGCTCAGGAATTGGTGTCCCGGAGGATATCTATCAGTCCAGGAAACCAGGGTTAATGGATGTCATAAGTTAGTTTTTGCAAAGTGTAATGCACAAGTCCTGCCTCAGAGTAAAACTTCAGTTTTTCCACACACCAGACTATCCTCACACTGCTCTGCTTTATCTGCCACTTTCAGCTTTTCAAAGGAACAATATCAAGTCAGGTGCTAGTCATGTCAGAACCATATTTACTGTATATGTGGGACTATTGTGTGTAACAGGTGTAAGGAGCGGGATATGGGAGTGCATTGTTTTGTGTTTCTTATTACAGACAGGCTTGTGCGCTCCGTAACCGGATTAATTTGCTGCCTGAATAAAAAGACTGATGTGTGTTTACTTTGCCTT